ATGCCAACGTAACATTTGCGGTCGAAACTTCATTTTTGCTGGCATATGTGGTCGGCAGTGGCTGCCTGCGTCTGAAATGTGTTGAGAATTTTCCTACTCAACGACGTTTGCTAATGAGTTTTACGCAACATACGAGTGGTTGGTTTCGGTGTGGAAGACTTTTGTCACTAAAAAACATAAAACTTTTCAACTTTCACTTGAGAATTTTAGTGGCATCTCGCATATGAGGGGCACATCTGGGGCTGTCGGCTGTTGATTATTAGTTGCCGCATCAGTGTTCCTTGTGTTGTGCCCCAGTATCTCAAGGTTATGCGGTTAACATATTATGAGCTGGCATATTGGCCAGGGAATACGAAATCTCGTTTTGCCATGCATGATTAAACATGTGCGTTGCCTCTCAAACTTTAATGGGAATAGCTTAAAAAGTTTTGATTATGCCAGCAGAAGGTGGTAAATAAAGCCACAGAGATTTTTGAGTTCCCCAAGAACTAAAGTCAAAGGGGCAATTTACGCAACAGTCGGCTGCTACTTACTCAGCCAAGTCAAGGAAGAAGACGTGGAAGTCAAGTTAAAGATATTAAGCTGGTCATATGCTTAATTATCACGTCTATCAGTTTATGTGCCACTGCTTGGGTTGAAGAGAAGTCTAGATGTTAAAGAGCAAAACCCGACGTCTATTTTGTCTTTCAAAATATTTAAAGTAGGGTATTATTTATTAGTAAATAATATGTTTAATATGCAAATAGCATTTTTTGGCAGAAATCAACCAGTTGATGAAGCCATGCGAGTCATTCTGCCTAACGATACACTCCCGTTCAACGAAATAGGTTCAGCAATTCTTAAGAGTAAGATGACAATATTACAGTATTATTTTAGGTATATAATTCAATTGTGAATCATTTGAATATATAATATATGTGTATGATTTGTTACTTTTAAGTAATTTTATTTATTTTGTTAAAGATATCGTGGATAACAGAACATTTTCATACAGAAACGAAAATAAATATTAACATATGTATCATTTTAAATAAAGAGCAAATCCAAGCTACAAAATTTATGAATTTCAAACACATAAACGCTTCATATATATTTAGCTAGAGGCCCAACTACTAAAAGCCTGACATTATCAATTTTTATTAACCGCCTATACAATGAAAAGCACTTTGGGTTGCCAGCATATTCCCGTGGAAACATTTCGATATAAAAGTGAAAAAGTAGCCGCTTTTTGGATGCTGCTCAAGTATTTATATGGTCTTCTTGGCCAGCATCACGGCTTCAAAATGACCCGCAAAGTGTTTGCCAGCCTGCCTTCTCCTGAGCATTGACACGGCTAACACGAGTGCTAAATGGACGTGGCCCCAACCCTATCTGACTGCCTGCTGCTTGCCCCTGTCTGTGTGTCTGACTGTCTGCCAAGCTGACTGGCAGCTGTCTATTGGCAGAGAGCGCTTAAAGATTGAAAAACACATTTAAAGTACACCAAATCTCTGGCGCAACTAACAAGTGATAAACTTTGACAATAGGTTCTTTCAGCAAAGGTCAAAGGCTAAAATATGCACGCAGCGACGCGTCATTGTGGTTGTTGTCAAGTGCAATCGAACAATGTCAGCAAAAGCGGATGGAATACGTAGGCCCAGGGTTGACAGAAACAACAACAAATCCACGCAACTAAAACGAAAGGCATTTAAAATTCAATTCGATTCGAGTGCGTGGGCGTGGGCGTGGGCATGGGCGTGGGCGTAGCTCACCTGTGAGTGTGGGCTTAGTGGTGTTTGCATGCCTGTGTGCCTACAGGTGCCTGTGTGGGTGTAGGTCATGTATACTACTCGTACGCTTTGAATAATATGCGGCAATTATAATTTCAAATTCTGACGTCTGTGGTGAGGATGGAGTCGTGTGAAGAGAGCGCAGTTGAAAGCTCCCTTAACCTTTGGCTGGCTGCTCTCTTCCGTTCGGCTCTTTCGAACTTCCAGCGCGTGTTTGTCGAAAGGAGCTTTCGAAGAGCCCTAGGCCGTTTCGCCGACCCACGCTCTCTGGATGGCTCTCTCGTGAACTGTGGCAAAACTGGACGAGGATGCTGTTTGGCATTTTAACCTTTTGCCAGGCGCCAAAAAGTATTCTAGGAATTAGTGAAGGTCACTAATTGATTAATTCACCTGCCTGCAAAAACAAATTATCCTACAAATTATCCCACATAAGACTAACACACAGAAATCGGGCTCAAAGAGCACATCATAATTTCCCACAACAAGTGCCTTATCCGCTCACCAACAATTGATAATGACTTAATTAGGTTTTACAATAAACGACCGAAACCATGCTCACACACAACCCTTTCTACGCACACACATAAACAAACACACACACACACACACACACACACGCATAGCTGGTCTTTGCCACGAAAAACCCATAAATGGCAAACTTTTCATAAAGGATTTAGCCAAAAAACTTTTCCGGTGCATGCATATGCGAGTTGTGTCTGTGTTTGCGTTTGTGTCCGCTGTTTAATTTATACATTCACAGCAAAAAGTATATCCACACACACACACACACACACACACACGCGCACACGGACGGGCTCGCACAAGCAAATATATTATTGCACAGGCCAAAGGATTAAAAATTTTCGTGCCTTTCTGTCATGGTTTATAGAAAGCCAGCTCGCGCGAAAAGGCAATAGTGTCCGTGGGCGTGGGCGTGGCACTTGTTTGCCAGTTTTCACGCATAGCCGAGTTTTACGTTGGCCATGCCCTGCCAAAAAAAAAAAAAAAAAAAAACAACAACAAGAACAACAACAATGAATCTCATAACTCTGACCGAGATCACAATTTACCAAAAACAGGAGCAGAATCTGAATTACGAACCGCAGAAATGCGATGCCAAATAAAAAAATGAAAAGATTTATTTTGCTTCAATTGGAGTTTCTACAGCTTAAATTAAACCATTTAAAGTTGTTAATTAAGTAGCTCGAATTTAATTCCTATAATAGACACGTGTTGTAATGTAGTACAAATATCCTTAAAGGATATATCAAATTCATTAATCAGCTGATTCTTTATGTAAATAAATAATGCATCTCATGATATAGTTGGCATATAGAAATAGATTCTACAAAGCGGAATACACACCTACAAGAATATCCAGCCTAAGGACTTCCATTGCATTATAACATATTATGTTATGTTATTATTCTCTGACTAGGAGCCGTCTTTTTTATCTCGTCTGCCAAAGGTCGGTCTTTTTGCTCACACTCTTCTCCTGATAAAATCTAATTGTGTTGGCTTGCTTTAATGATTTTATGTTTATGGCTCGTAAAAGGATGCTTTAATCGGAGCTCAGCTTGGGCTGCGATCGGAACTGTTTATTTTTCATAAAAGTCGTTATAATGGCCTTTGCAGAACTTATCATAATTATTTATTTATTTAAGCTGCCTTCTGAAACAGTGGCTCATTTTTATGGGACCTGCTGCCACATTTGATGCATGTCCTTCATTAGGCGCGTGAAAAAATGCCACCCTGGCAAATGGGATGTTAAGTAGATGGGGGAGGGCTGACTGTAAAGCAAGAAAACCTGACAACAGCCTGAACAAAATATTTGCGGAAGTTAAAAATTAATTTCAAGTGCAATTGGACCGGCTGCAGATGTGACTGCCGGGCTGGCCAAATGGCGAAAATCTCAAACAATAAACATAAAAAATGCGAGCGCCATTGTCATGAATAAAAGGCAAGTTAAGTAGGCACACAAGAGTGTCAGGTGTACGAGCGAGGGGGCCAGGATATGTATATATAAGCAGGACACAGCTGCGACAGGCGCCCGGCCCAAAAATGCGTAGCGGCCAGCGAGACATGAAATGCAATAATTATTCGTACGATAAATATTTACTTATAATTATATTTATACAGGATATTGAATTTTATAATTTCGACAGGCCCACCGTTTGCCATTTCTTTTTCTTTTTTTTGTTTTCGTATTGTTCCCTGGTGTTGTTTTTTCTTCGGCTGCCACCTGCGAATACATACTGAAACCATTGAAAAAATAAGAAAAGAATGTACTTATATTGATTTTAAGTTAACCGAGAGGCTCCCACAGTAGGCTACTGGCTCAAATAACAGAGTCAAGTGAAACGGAGCCGACTTTAAGATACTGTTTGCTTTAAAAATTGGCTTCGTTTTCGGGGCAAGGGCAGAAAGGCCTTCTTTTGAGCAATAAGAAACTGTTTGGGTGATATACTTATGCTAGGTCATAATCAATAAGCTGGGATATGAAATAATATTTTTGTTAACCGCTTTTACCAATAACATAGGGCGCTGTCTCTCCCTCTCCCTTCACATCTCTTTCCCGCGCAGAGCATTAAGAAAACAATATCAATTTTCTGGTTGTTCGAATGTTCAGAAATTCTTTTTGATAATATACCTGTTGCATTTGTTGTGCGCAGGGTATAAAGTTTAAAAGCCTTTTGACGTTTTTTTCGTAGTCCCGTGTATGCTTAAGTCCGTGTGGGAAAAATTTGCGCGTGTGGCTTGAAATCGTGCGTGGGCTGAACCAATTTTAATTTCAAGCAGTAATTACGTACTCAAAATTGGCAGCAAACCATTATTGGGTTTTATTTCTGTTTGCTTTTGGGTTTCACTTTGGTCGGCGATTTTTCTTTTTTTATAAACCTTAAAGTGTCTTTAAGGGCAACACTCCAGAAGTGAACATCCATGAGGAAAACGCGTCCAATTACTGAAATATCAAAGATTTGCTTATACTCTTCGTGGGCCTACATACTACTTTTAGCTATCCTAATTTGTGCAATTCGATTTTGTGGTAAACAATTTGAGTAATTGAGTCCTTTAATTGCACTTCTATATTTTTCATCCGATAGACTTCAAGCTCATTTGCAAATATCCAAGTCTGTTTTACTACATTTGCCTCTAGCGGGGGGAGTGTGGTAAAGTAATCTAAAGTCTAAAAAATCTTACAGCTGTCAAAGCCTGGCAATATCCGTCAGCAATCTAGAGCAATTTTATTTATTTATATAAACTTTATATAAATACTTGTGCTAGTTGTATTTTCTGAGAAAGGAATACAAAACTTTGCAGCCATCGCAGCATAGCTTGAGAACGTAATGTTGGCCCTTTTATACCGAGGTGCTAGGAGCAAGCCAACTGTCAATCGATCGGGGTCTGTGTCACCTTTGGTTGCATCTTCATCTCAAACATGGTTGCACAACTGACAACGTTGCAACGCGGCTGCAACGCGACGGGAGCATAATGTTTTGATGGATTCGCTTGGTATGTCTGCAAATATTTTCGTTTCAATTTTAAACAAAGTGGAATGCCACCAGTTCATCCCCTGGGTTTTCCATGCTGCTTTTCATTCGCGTACAGTGGTGTGTGTGTGTGTGGGTGTGTGTGTGTGTGTGGCACACATTCGGTGATGGTTGTGGCAACGCTGCCTTTATTATTATTATGTATTACTCTTTATGTATCAGCTTCAATTAATGTCAGCGTATGCGCGTAACGATTTTCTTGTCATTCATGCCAGTCAAACATGACGGGGCTACGGAACGACAGCTAGACAAACAGATAGACAGAGAGACAGACTGCCAGACAGACAGGCAGGCAGACAGACTGACGACGGGACAGACGGACGAATAAGGCACATGCATATATTAAGCAAGGAAACAGCATAGAAATGAAGCGGAACGGAGACGAGTCCTGGTCGAGGGGCAGAACAGTTGTGTGTCAGTCCCGTCATGCGTTTATTCAGTCGTCATTCGTTTGCTTTTTTTTTTTTTCTTTTTGGTGCAGAATTTTCCACTTTTTCCGATTTTTTCTATATTTTGTGCCCCAGTTCGTACTGAGCGCATTGAAGTGTATGGCAAAGAAATCAAAAGAAACCCAATGGAATGAGGATGAATGTTTTTCTACTGATTGCTCCTTTTACATTGTTGTTGCTGTTCAAAATGTTAAAAATAATCGAAGAAAAAAAACAACAAACTGATATTTAAAGCAAATTGTATTTAACAAAAAATCCAAACAAAAATTTGAATAATTCGCATCACGTGTTCCACGAGAAACGTTTATTAATGCCTGCGACTCGACGTCAGGTGAGTGCGTAGCCTCACCTGTCCCAAAAGAAACTCGCGTTTAGGTCAAGGTCAAGTCACGTATTAAATAAATGATTCTATAAACTTATGGCTAAGATCGCCAAAGGGCGCATTCGCGAAATCATTGAAAATTATCCGAAGCCCTGTTCAAGCTTAACAAAATGACAAATTTAATTAATGAATTAATTGTCACTAAGATATTTTGAGGTAAGTTACCTAAAGTTTAGAATGCGAAAAACAAGCAAACTTTAATTAAAATATTTGGCAAGAAAAATTCAAAAGCAAGCACCACAGAAAAACAAGAGAGGCAGGAGAAATGTTTTTTATATTCGACAATTTTGGAACTCGTTGCAGAATTGGGAAATCCTGGATAAATGCCGGCACTCTGCCCCAAGCAGTTTGTCAAATGAGCAAACAAAAACAACAAATAAAAGTAAAAATAATATAAATGTCAATAAAAATCAATTTCGAATTGAGGCAGTCAAATTAACAAGTCATTGTGGCCACATTTATGCTGTCAAAATATGACAAAAGACAAAAAATAAATAAAATCACAGCACTGCGATTTATTGACACTTCTAATTGTCAATAATATAAATTCCGTTGAGTCAATTATGCTAAAAGCAGCCAAGAGCAGCCAATAAAAATGCTCAACATCCGCAGGGGTTCCAAGCGTCCTGCGGCCGTATAAATTAATTTATATTGTAGGAAAAACAGACGAACCCACAAAGACTAATGGCTTACAAAAAAAAAAAAAAATAAAAAATAAACAAAAAAAAAAAAAAAAAAGAATGCCGCGCACAAACCGGCAATTAAAGCAATTGAGTTAACAGCGAAAGGCCCTAGCGGCGTCATCGTCGCCTTTAAAGATTTCACGCTGCGTATGAGTAATGTCGCGAAATCGGTTTCTCTCGCTGCTTGTGCGCCATTTTTATTGTTTTGCTGCTGTGTGTAGGCACTTAAAACTTAATGAAATATTTACAATAATGGTGCGCTGTTCAGCCAACATTCTTCGACGGCCTGAAATTATGAGCAAATTGCTACAAATCACGCCAATCTTACGTATTGCACACATAAATGTCCCTTGGAATGGCCGCACACAGCAATACACGCATTTGAGTCCCTTGCCTCCACATTGTTATTGAAATGTTTGTTTGCCCTAAGTGCTTTCTGGGTGTGTGCAAAGCTCGGAATTTATGGGACCTTCGATTGTAAATCGAGTTGACCTAAGCCGTGATTTGTTTGAATATTTCAAGAGTTTTATGTTTAAGTACATCGAATCAAATGAAACATATGCATTGACTTAGAATTTTAGTACTGATGGATTGGCACAAAGCTGCAAAACATACCAACTAACTGTCAGCAAGTTACTCAGATACTCAGGTTTTCGTCTTTATTCAGTTGATAGTTTTCACGTAGCGTATAAAAGTGTGTGCACTGACTGACTTTATGACAGATTGACTGAACAGTGACCAAAGCACAGTCCAAACCAAAAGAGTTGAAGTCTTATTGTAGCTTCCTTTGGGTACGAGCGTCAACACTTAGGCCAGGTTTTGGAAAATTCGGGCAAAAAACATTAAAATTAGGCTCTCTTCTTTGCACACGTGGCGTCAAACTAACAAGTGAGCAGTCAGCGGCAGAAATTCAGCAGCAATTGTCAATGGTTATATTTCCCAAATTCACTTTGCTTTTATTGAGGAGGAAGAAAAGCTGTAAAATTGAATTAAAAGACAACAAACACGTCGATAATTAATCGGGACAATAACAAAAATCAACAATTTTGTTTTCCAATTTTTATAATATTGTCTGACTTCCATTTTTGGCAGGCTTCAATCGATCCGTTAAGCAGCTTAGCTGACTAAACGTCGTCAACTTGAGGCGGAAAGGAAGTTTTTACTTTTGTGCAATTGAGGCGAAACATCCTTTATGAATTCCAGTAATTTATAGCTGTATACTAAGGCTAGCGTTTACTTAGATTGGTCCGGAACAGGGTCTTTGGGTCTAATAAAGTGTTAGAGCTACTCCATTTGATTAAGTTGAGAGATAGTTGTAATGTTTATAATTTGATTTGTAATGGATTCGTAGGGACTTATATGCTCGGTGGATATTAAAGAGGTTCTTTGTCAGCAGTTGGTGTAAACTATACAAAAAAAATTTCTGTTCCACGTGCATTTGAATTTTGATAACTTGATAATTAAATCTCTTATTGGTTGTCTATTGTTAGCTTGATTACAAAAATTTGGAAGCTACTTAACTCGAACTGCTGGCCGACACAAAAACGGACGAAAATTTTCTTAAAATTCAAATAGGTTATGTATATTCAAGCAAGTCGTGCTTTGGACCTTGTTCGCTGTGTGCATGTTTATTTCATGTATCCCAGCAACAATTGCGACACTCACGTTGCTCTGGGAAAAACCCCATTTACTACAGCTATGCCTTGCCATTTTATATAATGACAAGAATTTGACTCCAATTGCGCAACATACGTATATCAATTACCGAATTTGTGTATCTGCAATTACAACACTCATAAGGTAAATGTAATGTATCTTGTTTCAGATTTAATTAAATAGAGTTTTGTTTAAGTTCATAATTCTTACATTACTTGTGCAGAATGATATTTATTTCAGTTGCGCATTTGCGTGCATTAAATAAACTAAAATCCAAAAATGCGCAATAATTAATTAAATTGTTTATAAAATTACGTTGTCGGTTAGGTGCTTCTATTCGCTTTTATATATACTGAAATTATTTCTATGAATAGTGCGTTTTTGGTCGCTGTTCATAAATTATTTACTCTGCTTATTCAACAATTCGCCCTTTTTGCAGCATTTACATATTCACATAATGAATTGCAAATAAATGATGTATCGAAAAAGACAGAAAAATAACAACACACTGACAACAATCGGCGGCTTAATTGTAAATGTACAAATAATTTTAGCACCAAGATTTACATGCGGAGTGCAGCCTCGTCAATTTATGATAGTCCGAAACGCTGAGAACTCGACTATGTGTGAATGCTTGTGTATTAATAATATTCACAATGTCGCTAATTTGACAATGCGCAAACAAAAGCGCGTTCATTAAATACCGGATGCACAGCGCCTGCACATATTAATACAAATACTGTGTATTTTGATGTTGGGTTAAATAATTTGTTTTATGGCGGTCCGTTTAGAGGATGGTCAAAACAAGATATTAATTAAAATGCGAAATACGGAAGGTCTGTCGAAATCAGCAGGACAATAAATAATTAGTCGTGCGTTGCAGTTTCAATTATTTGAAAACAAAATAAATTATAAAATTGAAAAAAAGTCTCGAAAAACGTGCACACACTCCCATTTAAATAGTCATTGAAAAGGCTTGCCAAGCTTTTATTTTTCATGAACAATAAGAATTAATTAGAATCAAGCAAACATGCAATTCTAGCAAAAACAACTAGATCCCCTTAAATGTAAAACTACTTGCAGCAACAAGCACCGAACCATTTGCAACATTTTGCGTATCTTTTTAATGAATTAATCGTGTAAATTGCGCCAAGTTTGCATGTCTAGCTAACTATATACATATTTGTGTGTGCGAGTATGTGTGCAGGTATGTGTGCAGGTGTGTGTACAGGTGTGTGTGTAGGTGTGTGTGATTATGCAAGCGCGTGCGTGTAAAGTAAAGTACACGTTAACGCCCAAACAATGTTTCGCTGAATAAACGAAAACACCCACAAATGTGCTTTAATTTATAATTAAGTTTTAAATTGTTCTATGACAAGCAATCGCACGTGTGTGTGTGTATGTGTGTCTCTCTGTGTGAGTGTGTATGTGTGTGTGGGACCACACAAACAGCCAACAAGGAAATGTTTAACTGGCTTGTCACAACTGTCCTTAACAGCTTTAAAAGCAACAATAATAACAACAGATGTCGCTTAATATTTTTGTTATTTTATTGCACAATATTTAAGACTGTTTCAACAGATAATGAAACACGTTGACAAGTCGAACAGCGAATACTCTGTCACATTTTTAGGGTTTATGTATAGTTTGTAAACCTCTTTACAAGTAAAAAAAAATAAATGGAATTTAAAGCTGATTCTATACAATTATAATAAATGCTTATTTAATGGGAAAACATTTTAATTTTAATTCGATTTACAGCATTTTTATCAGATTTCTATGTTGTCTGGTTGAGTTTTAAGATCCTTAAATCAATTATCAGTATAACCGAATTTCTATTTTCCTACTTTCTATCAATTTAATAATTTTTGCATTTACATATTCTAGAACCAATTTCCAAGACTTGTTTAATTTATTAAATTGATTCATTTGGCGTTCAAACTTAATTATAAATGCGCTATGCCGCGCTCAATGAAGAAATAAAAACAGTGCTTAAATGTCATGTTGCCTTTCGGTTAAGCGTTTATAGCCTTGCTGATTGCAATATTTTACCTTAATTCAATCTACGTCACACTCCAGCACGCCCAAATACTTGTACGCACGCACACATACAAACACCCACACACACTCACGCGCGCGCGCGCGCGAAGGATGCAGGAGGGCTGTCGCTCACTTATGTTGTATCCTATTAAAATTTATAAAAGGCAGCGCATTGAGCACTCGCTCGTATGAGCAATTTTTTGTGTTTGTTTTTCAGCGGATAGCATAAAATGGCATTCATTTTAAATCCATTAATACTGTATAGCATGCATACTGTGGAATATTAATAATTATTATTTATAGTATTACTTCTGTGCTGTGTGCAATTTTAATCAGGCTATCGCTATGCTTGTCTTCATCAGTGGGAGGCTAGCGTCTGGGCGTGGCAGCTTGTTCGACATTAAAGACTTAAGCAAAAGGGCTGCAGTATGCATTTAATAACCTGCAAAGCTGCGCATCTAAAATTGCGAGCCTGGGCACGGCGTATGCTTGCCGTTGGCAGTAATTTCAGATTTTAATTAAATTCTTTTCTTCTCTGGCCTGCCACGATGTGCAGCGTGCCTTGCTCTGCTCTGCTCGAAGCGAGCGACCAACCCAAATAACTACGAGTACAAACCGACTTGTCAAACCAGCTACCGCTCCATATATGAAAATATTTGTAATGTCGTAACAAAAAATAATACAAGAAACTGCAAGCGATTGCGAGGCTCGCATGTGCGACTCTGAGAGATTGGAAGCTAGATGTTTCGAATTCCAATTCAAAATGCGATTGTGCGCTGTGTTAGTCGAGATTACAACTTGTAAGTGAAATAAAATTGTTAGACTTAAGCATTTGGTATTATAATAAGATACACTTACACTTAATACCCATTAGGCTGTTATGCTTAGTATACGCTGTAAGTACTTTGAAAGAGACCCATACATTTTTAGTTTTTCTCTAGCTCAGCTCTTTACAAAATATGATTAATGAGTCTGTAACCTGCAACTCTTCTAGGAGATGCAATTCCCGAAATATCGGTTATAGCAACTTTCAGACCTCAAATACTGCCCTGGCAACTAGACGAATGACACGAATTTCAGTCAGGAACTCTTGCTTTTAAGTATAGTGAACAGTTAAAGGCTATCAACCCAACTTGCAAGAGATTCAAAACTCGAAACTCGAGATTTG